GACAGCTACACCCTTGCTATTCTCCTGTTGACATGTGCACCAAAGCACTTTAACATCCTACTGAAAACCTGTATATATGGAATATAGATATTTATTTAAATAAATCAGAGGATCAGTGCGTCCTTTCAGCTCCGGTCACACTGACCAGGAATATTTTTTAAATGAACAAAGATTTCCTAAGCAATCTGTAAATATTTTGTCTTCCAAGGTGAATGACAGCTAAACGTGAACAACTAAGAGCCGCAGAGACTGTTAGCAGCGAAGCAGGGGGAACAGGAGTGCAGGTCAGCCAGAACTCTTGCTTTTCCTAAGGAGCCAAATACAAAGTGCAGCCAAATACCTGAACTGATGGGGACTTGCAGCCGGCTTCATCGCTGATCTACACGGACAGCCCAGGAAGGCAGTCACACGAGCGTCCTGTTCTAGAAGCGTCGGGGGCACGGAGGCAAGCGGAGACGCACGGAACCCCCTTGCCCTTTTCGAGCGTGGTAATAGATTGATAATCACAAAATGGGAGGAATGAGCTCTGGTCAGCCGCCCCAAAAAGTCACACAGTTCCAAAGCGAGCTGGGAGGCAGCTGGATCAACAAAAAAAGGCAAGAAAAACACACAGGGGCTTCCGAGTTGGAGGGTAGTTCTGGAGGGATAACTGCAGGGAACGCGATAAACCCTGGGCTTGAAGTCACACAAAAAATGTGAATCCAATTCTAATTCAACATCTACCACATACTGGTTATTCAGTCACTTCATTTCTGTTCCCACACTACCCGTGTTCATAAGATCAACCACAGGATTGTGATTAGGACAAACACTATTTTATCGACTGCAAGTGAACATTTATTTTTCATTCCAGCAGTTTCCACAGCCTCCCACTGGCAACTGCTCTTCCTGGGTTGTCAGTCCCACAAGCCTTGACTTTTTCAAAGAGATTTCGCCTGGGCTGTAAATCCACCTGGGATTGTGGAACCCCTCTTTTGGGAACTGCCATCCAGCTCACTGCAGAAGGCTGCTTTTGGGGTGGGGGGACACACGGGCACAAGACATTAGCAAGAAACGTCTCCTTTTCCATGATTACCTGTCTATTAACATGTTCAAGGGAACAAGCACATGTTGTGCCTCAGCTGACAAACTTTTCAGTACGACGTTGTCAAGCTCTTCCATACAGTCGTATTTAATTTTACATTATGTATTTAATTTTACATATTTAACACAAACAGACCTGTTGGGCATTCCAGTTACTCATAAGTCTTGTACAACACGAAACTCAAATAAAGGAACACAAGCACCGTGTCAGTGTGAAAACTACAACATGACAGGATTTTTTTTCAATTTTTTTTTTTTTTAATTTTAATTACGGTGCAATTTTGCTGGGCGTGGTGAACATTAGACGTCGGATGTATTGTCCAATCAATAAAACATGAGATAATTTGAAAATTTCTTCTGGGATCAGTTTTTGGATCCAACTATCTCAACCCTTCATATCTTGTTATCTACTCCTCTCGCAAATTAGATGGGGGGTGGAAGGGAGGAAAGTGAAAGCAAGATGTCTTAATGTCATCACACACAAAAGCTTTGTGGTAACCACAAAGAAAAAAAGAAGCAGCAGCACAAGTAGCAGCTAAGCTAATTCAACATACACAGCATCGCCACTACCATGTAAATACTCACTACCATGTAAATACTTCTATTCTTTCAAGAATAACCCATTTAAATTGATATTATCTTGGGCATTTATGAGTTACCTTGGCCTGGTTGAAGTGTACATAGGCTAATCCCTGAGAAAAAGCTAAGCCATGGTTAGATTTTTTTCATACACATGGGAATATTTTTGTCCAGAAATAGAGCAAGCCTGCAGAAGCTGGTGGAAGAAGTTCTTCGAATGCAAAGAGGGCTGTTTTGTAGGGAGAAAGTTTTCTTAAGTAAAGTTTTCATGTATTAGGGGTTTTTTCTAGACGGTCTGTTTTGCAAAAGCTATGTTGTATCATCCACAACCACTGGGGATGAAAGGAAAAAAAAAAAACAAAACAGCTGTAATCTTATCCTGCAGACTAAGTTCTCATAGACACCTAATCAGAGTTGTACTTACAGTGACAGGACTCTCTCGTCACATAGACCGAGAAGGCAGCAATTCATGTTATATTTAAAGATTTTGTGAAATAAACCACCACAGGTTAAGAGAACCACCCCTCTTTTCAACACCACGCCCAGGCAGCTAACGACAACCACGCGTTAACCAGCCACTGGCAGTCAGTACTTAGAATCATTAGGTTGGAAGAGACCTCTGAGATCATCTAGTCCAACCATTGGCCCAACACCACCGTGCCCGCTAAACCATGTCCCCAAGTGTCACATCTATGCGTTTTCTGAACCCCTCCAGGGACGGTGACTCCACCATCTCCCTGGGCAGCCTGTTCTGATGTGTGACCACTCTTTCAGTAAAGAAATTTTTCCCAATGTCCCATCTAAACCTCCCCTGGCACAACTTGAGGCCATTTCCTCTCATCCTATCGCTTGTTACTCAGGAGAAGAGACCGACCCCCTTGTTCCTTCTGGAGCAGGCCACTTCTCTGCTCCCTCAAACACCGCACGCAGAGACACGCCTGTATCACAGCCCCCCCAGCAGCCTCCCCTTTGCTTTTCAACAGCCTCCGAGGAAGAAAGATCCTGACGTTGCTGCCGCGGCGCTGAAGCATTGCCGTGTCACCATCCCACCAACCAGGCCATCTGCAGTGCTCACACCCTTACCAGCAGTCGCTTCAGCTTTAAAAGCTTCTTGATCACTGCACACAGAGCAATCCAAAAACTCCAGTCATGGTTTCTTTACAGACAGGGACAGGACTGAATCTATACGTCAGACTTCCAGACCAGGTCTAAGAGGTCAGCTCAGGACTCAACTGCATACACTTCTGGCACAGCTGGTTCTTTCCTGGAGACACTCAAATGAATTTCCATTTCTATAAGATGGGTTATAGAATGTTAAAGCAAAAAAAAAAAAAAAATTAGGGCAAGATGTTTACTAATTGCTAATCATTCAATAGGCATAAACAAAAGATTAAATCGGTAAATTATTTTGTTCTTCAAAGGCCTCATTATCCTAAAAATTACTGTCATGAAGAAAAACTGCCCAGTAAAAATGTCCAATGAAACTGAATGCATTTAAGCGTCCCAATACAGCACCAGCGAGCACACCTTAACCGCTTCAGACCAGCAGCAGCCCCTAGCGGTGTACTGGTATTGCCTCAGCCGTGGCCTTACTGGTCTGGAATAACCTACTAGCTTGAAGGTGAGAATCCTGCATGCAGAGTACTGTTCTCCCACTTAATTGCCAATACACTACATTTTTCACTTTCCATCTTTAAATACCTTTTTTTGGAATATGTATATTTATTCTTCCAGAACTAAAATTCAGGCAAGAGCCACCCCAACACGCTGTGGGGCAGGTGTAAGCCCCACAGTAGCTACGCACTGCTAAACCCTTTCAGCAGGGGACGTGATCACCCATGTATTGAGGGGGAACGGGAGAAATGAATAAAAAGTGACACGATGTCATTTGTCTTGTCTTTCCAACCCGACTACCTACACAGCAGACAGCTCACCGCGGCGGTCACTAGACAGACTTCTGCTTCCTCAAGGGTGCTGTGTGAGAACCGAACTACAGGCATCCTCTGCCACCACTTCATCTCAAGCTGCTCTGAGCTTATCAGCAGAAACTGCAGGGTTTAGCTTCTCGGAGAACTCCAGCTTCTCCTCTTTCCTACGCTGTTCTACTGCTCTCTTGCCAGGTAGCCCAACCGCTCCATTACAGCCAATTCTGAAGGTAAGGGGCAGAGCACCGATGCATTTCCAGTGAAGGACTCTCAGCTTCAGAATTCATTTCCTTCCTAGGACCCTGAGAAAGGAAGAAGTTTCTTAGACATCTCCCAAAAAGCCAGTTACGCTGGGATCGCAGCTACACTCGTGCGCGTGCAGATGCATGAAAACCCAACAGGAGACGAGATGAACCTGTAACGGGCAAGTTAAAGCAACTTAATGCTTTGAATCAGGTGAAGGAGACTTTGTAATAAAAATGGCCAAGTAGAGGGGAGATGTTCCATTATAAATAAAAAGCATTTCCCAAAGGCGACACCAAAACAGATCCTGGAATCAATCAAAAGGAAAAACTAACAAGATACAAAACCAGCATCAGATTTCCTGACGTACCGTACAGCCCTACAACCACCGTAGCTTAAAAGTTTCGTGCGCACAGAACACAGAACCCAGGTTTCTTAGAATAGCATTACACATTTATTGTTCACGTTTGGAGTAATTTGGTTCCCGATGGAACCACTGAAAGTCTTAATGCATCTGTAAACTGAGTATCACTATAAAACGATTTAAAATGCCATGTAAAATAATATTACGTACGCATGTGTTTAATTTTGTGGTTTCTCAGCATCGTCACTTTGTCTATTTACAAATATATAAAGATTTTGCGCTTTAAGTCATCTGAAATATCAAAGAGGTATTTTCAAATCACACAATAAATATAGAACCTGTGTTGTTAAAAATCTACAGTATACTGTACATTCAAGTTGAGGCAAAAGAAGTTTTAATGCCAGTTACACTCGAGACATAAATGAATGTATCCAATAATTAAACCATTTCTAAAAGTGCTATCTCTGCCCGTGATGAAAGGTAACATCAGGATCCAGTACCTCATTACAGTAAAAGTTTCACACCATTGCTTCATTCACAGAATCAGAGCTTCTGTTACTAGAAAAATATCAAAGCTTTCATATATTTTTAAATTATCTTCTTTCGAGAGTTGCAAGAGAGGCAAAAAATGGTCTAAAAAAGAAAAGCCATGTGCACGCACGTACACACACACACACGCCACAATTCCAGCTCACCACATAATCCTCTAGAAGAACGATCACACTCACAGCATTCTGTTTCACGTTAGAATGATAAGTTTAAGAACAAATCTCTAACAAAAAACCCAGCAGGCAACCCTAGGAAGGCTAAGGCAGTTGTTCTATGTGCAAGTTCCTACGTAGCCGAGTGCCAACTCCAGAGTCTTCCCGCCACTTCGGGCGCTACTCGCTTTCTTCTTTGTCGCTTCCCACCCGCTGATGTGGCTTGCTATCTCCAGCCGGGTTTTTGGATGCGGCACTGGAAGCAGGAAAGAGAATGTTAGAACGCAAGTGATGGAAACACAGCACTGTCTTTAGGACAGGATGTTTCGTACTTTTGCTATGTATCAGCCACAAGCCTGAGGGGTAAGTTATCACGACTCGGTCTCTGTGCTCTACGCAGAGTTCGGCGCTATAAAAACAACCACCCGCAACGCCACTTCAGGTACCTGTTAGGTGGCACGTGCCGAGGCGTCTGGCAAGGTTCTGCTGAGGCAGGACCGCTCAACGGACAGTGAGGTTTTCTTTGCTGAGAGGCAGGTTTCGCTACCCGATGGTCTTGGTCAGAACCTAAAGAGATACACACGTTATCATCAGCCGAACTACAGCGCCACCACGAACACCCGAAGCGTTTGCTTGTGTGCGTCTTCTGCTTTAAAACAAACCGCCAGGCACCTTCCGGCCCGTCTGCAACAGTAACTCCTACTGTTATACGTCTGTGATAAAATGTTGTGAGTACACTTCATGCTACTGAATGAAGTTATGTTAAAATTAGGATTTCTCAATTTGAAAACGAAGCATTTACCTACACAACCACCCCTGCAAGCAGCCATACCGAAGTCACGTTTAAAGTCCCTCAAAGTTTCTTGCTTTACAATTGACAAAGCTCTTTTACTCCTCAAGCAAAAGCTTCCCCAGCACGCACAGACAGTAACTAACAGCAACGTGAGAACGTGCAAACTTGTCAGAGTAGAGAAAAAAAAAAATCAAAAGCAGTAAGTTTGATGCTTTAGCACTTATATGAAATTAACCATCACTTGAGTCAATGGCAAGGCATGGTCGAGCTCAGCAGGGCCAGATGAATCCCCACTAACTCTTTCTCACCTTCAGATTTCAAAGCTTCCACGTGAAGTAGGAAAAAATAGAATGATTCTGTGTTCTACAGTATTTATCATAGCACGACAGAATCAGGAGCTTTTGGACAAGTGTTGTGAAAAAGGAAAATTTAACGTTAAACAACTGTAATGATAACCTGTGCAGTAATACCCAAAGGGAGTACGACTGTCTGTGTGGCAGGCGTACTTTTCGTTTTAGTACTATTATCTAGTAGCTTAAGATTATGATACACAAGACTGAAGAATGCCATTTAGAAGAGAAAATACGGCATTAAATAGATCCAGAAACACTAAAATCCGGAAAAAGGCAGTAAAAAAATCAAAAGCTTTAGCGTACGATGAACATTCAACAGATCTCAAGTTGCCCACAGGTCACTAAATCAAGGAATTCTTCAGGAGCAACAGCCAAACAACCTCAATTGTGTTCCTAAAAATAAAAGTTTTCCTCCTGGGGAAGATCATTCCATTTCACACTTACAGAAGCGCTGCAGAGAGGAGAACCAAGGAGAACCCAGGAGGCAGAGCTACTTTATCTAACAGGAACACAAATTCAAGCTATCTTTACTCGCCAGGTGTTTCACACCCTTATCTTTGCATGTTGGCTGCCACAAGAATCTATTTAACAGAGACTGTTGTTACTTTTTCCTCCCCTATCCCTTTTTTTTTTGTCTCACTCCATCCCTCAAAATGTTGAGGCCTCAGTGGTGAAGACCAAAACACTGCACGTGCATATTCAGGCATGAGGAGATGGGAAATAAACTTACCAACTTGAAAGAAAAAAAAAAATTGTAGAAGAAAGGAAGAAAAAAATACTTTCAATAAAAGCAATATGCCAAACTGTAGCTGTATTTTCATTATCTTTTCTAAATTATTCCTTTATGAAAATTTGAATCTTAAAATTCAATTGTTTATTGCTCAAATTTATTTTCATTATCGTCTTTTCACTATTTCTTTTCCCAAAGGATTCTTTTTTTTACTGAGTACGTACGTGTACACATGTTTAGTATTACCTCATCTCAAGTAATCAACGCTGCTGTCTCCACAGTATGATGCTCTTGTTTCCTAAACTTGTTTCTAATCTACACAGATCTCTACAGGTCATGATTACTTTACCTGCCTTGGCAATTAATACGCTTGCATTTAATTCAATTTAGTAATTCTTAAAGTTCCCTGATCTCAACAGCTGTGCTGTCAGGTCCGTGACACTCACCAGATCGCTGCACAAATATAAATTCATCATGTAAGTAATCACCAGGGAGGGTGTCATCACGATTCCCGTTTTAAAAGGGGATTTTGAACCATCAGTTGCCCTGACAGGTAAGAGGCACACAGACAGATGGTAAAATTTGTCTTGGGAAGTTTTAGACTCTTAATAGTTTTGTTCGTATTTGCATCTTCTAGTTGAAAGGCCGGGAAGAAACGCATCACGAGAACATAATGTGAACCAAATACTTGCTTCCTAAGAAGGCACGTGCAGTTGTCACATTTTCAGAGTGCTTGTAATCAGTAGACATACTCAAGAACTGTTGCTTCAGCCACGCTCCTCTGTCTTCTTCAAATGCCTTTCTCTAGGAAAAGAAACGACAGTTTACACTTATGACCACAGGAACAAGCTCAGTCCACAACAAACTGATGCTATTCTAGCTAAAAAAGCACAAGTTGTAACGTGTCCATGCAATTAAGGAGAGAGCCAGCAGTTTAACACAGAGTTACAGTCCTGTAAGCAAGCTTCTGGATCCAACAAGGATTAGCTGAGGAGGTAGTTACTGACAAGCCAAACCCCACGGTTTGCTTCACAGAAGTCTGACCAATCCTTCCATTTTACTGTTCTCCACTCCAGTGACACAATCTGCTTCCACCGCCTCCTATGCTCCTCTTCCCCCTCAGTGTAGCACTACTTCTGGGAGGTAGCTCTCATTTCTGGGCAGCTGCCAGTCTTTACAATTACTGCTTAAATCTCAACCCTGAGCCTTCCCCTAAACAGATAAAAATGACATTGAAGATAGCACTGACTACTCCCATCCAAAACTGGGGCAGGAAGAAGGAGGTTGCTTCATTTTCCAATCACTCTGAGCACAGAAGAGGAAAATAATGGCTAAAAGACAACCTCCAAAAGATCCAATAGGTCTGGAATCAAGCAACAAGCTCTTTCATCTCCAAAAACCACCAGTGAAACAGGACATCCCCATTATACAAAAATATTTCTACTATGTCAGTAGAAAATAGTGCAAGCTGAACTCCAGTGCAAACTTTCACAGACACAAAGCTTACAGCATTGCTCCTCTTCTCACACTTAAGCATGTTAACACGCCGAGGCACGGGCAGTTACGCTTACGCTGCAACGCAGTCCTAAACATTTCTGGCCAAACAATTCTCATTTATTATCACTCAAGACTTCTAAAGCTGAATTCAAGGTCCAACACTGAAATTCACAAACTCATTAGAATGCAACTAAAACGAAATTAAAAAGTTGAAGACTACATATCTATATGTAGGGGTCTGAGTCAATCTTTGTCACCATGGGAACCACTGCTGTGCCAATATCTCAAGCAAAATCTATAAAGTGTTTTATGTTCCCTACAATAAATTTTACACTGTGAGAATTAAAACCCAAAGCTGTCTGCAGTCAGAGAAGCTGTCCATCTAGCCCAATATTCTGTCTCCAACGACTACCACAAGAGAGGCTATTTATGAGATCACATGAACCTGGGCGCTTTCTGCAGTGCATACCCTCAGAGGTTCCCAGGCCCAAAAGTAATTTGGTTAGAGACGTTAGAAGGCACCCCCTTGTCTCCCCCCTTTTAGTACCCATCTGTGGATGTGTGGTTCATGAGCTTAGGCAACTACTTTTTGAACCTGCTCGTACTGATTGACTTCACCACCTCCTGGGGCAGCAAAATCCAGAAGCCCGCTACCTGCTACATAAAAATGCACCTTTTTTTTGGATGTGTTTTAGACTTAATTTCAAGCAGTTTCTATGAGCTCCCTCTAGTCCTCCTAATCTTGAAAGATCTGGTGAACAACAGTAGTGCTTCTGTCTGACCAGCTGGATCCACAGTTTCATATATTTCAAATCACATTCCACTCCAGCTTCCTCCTCTGCAAGTCAAAGCAAGCAGTTCCATAAGCAATAAATCTAAACTCCTTTTCCTTTTTCCTCCAATGGTTTTTTTCCCGCTAGTATCTGTACCATTATAGTTCCACATCATCGTGACCTCCTTTCCCTGCTAAACTTGTAAAGCCCTTCATATTCCTGGCCCTAACTATTGGCTAGACCAAAGGACACACACGCTGCAGCTCATTTAGAGACACATCTACCCTGACTGCCTCCCAGTACGCATGCTTACTGGCCAGCTTGACTACAAGAACAGAACGGGTAACGACCCTACTAAGCGAAAGGCAACAATTACTTTGCGTTTCTGCCACAGTCACTGGTTTTCACAAAAGTTTAGGAATGTAGTACCTCTGAGAACTCAACCCTGCAGCCAAGGCCGACTCAAATTTGCACAGGCCTTGCTTCCATAGGAAACCAAACTTGAGCAGCACCTAATAAAGCATTTAATGAAAAAGTAGACGGATTTTTGGAAGTACTTTGCTATTTCAAAAGCTGAAACAAAAATGGGTCATTCCAGTTGCAGCAACAGTATTTTCCAGCACACAAAACCGCCCTGTTTTTTTAGAAATGCTGACAGAATGATCTCCTACAGTGACCAAAGGTACGTTTTACGCAGTAGGGGAATGATCTTCCTCTACAGATATTAGCAAACAGGTATTGTTGGATGGCTGCACTTTATGTGTGTAACAGTGAAACTACTCAACAATCCTAATTCATCTTCCACAGGAGCTCCCTTCTCGAATACCCTTCCGCTTTTCTAATACCTCAAGTCCTAATCTAATAGCGGCTTCTGTAAAACTTCTTCGTTCCTTCTCAAAATTCTTTTTTTGTTCTCGGAACAGTCTCCATTCTTCCTGAAGACGCTCTCTTTCTTCCAACAAATAGCAGTCCTGTAGCAACAGGGTGGTGTCATCGTCACACGGAGACATAAGCTGCTGCTGCAGATACAAAGCAACACAAGACACAAACGTTAATTTGGGAGTGACTGAGGAGGAGGAGTATTTCCACAGGTTCAGTTTTATCAGAAAAACGGTTGAATATGGAAACAATGCAGTAAGTATCGAGTTGGTGACTGGCGGGGGCAGAGTTTTAGCTGGCAAGCAGAATGTCCCTGTTCAGGCAGCTGACCTCATCAGCCTTCCTCACCTTTGTTTATCCCCCAAAATCATTCCTACCAGGATTAAAAACTCCTTAAGTTACCACCCAACCCACCAGCACACCTATACTCGGACCAACCATGAAGATGTTTTTATTTTAAGAGCGCTATCGAAGAATAGAGAAAAGCTTAGAGGTGTGAAAAGTGGCACATTAAAAAACAAAAAAAAAGCTTAAATTCACTTGAAAAAAAACCCAAACAACCCACAAAATAAAGAAAAATTAAAGCCTGTTACCTGTAAGAGCTGTTGCTGAGTTTTGATCATTTCTTTACATTGCTGAATCTCTAACTCTAGCTTTTCGGTTTCCAGCTCATGGTCTTCTCTTGAAATGACATCTTTTTCATTCAAAGCTCCTGAATGTACACGTGACACTAAGGGGAGGAAAAAAAGCTACTTAAAAACAAAACAATCCCTCACATCAGGGACTTACAGCAACAGACAGAGGTTTTGGACTGTATTTGTTTCATCCTGGAAGACAGCTACACAGTGTATTCAAAAGCACTTCTAGCAGAGACAAGAGATCCAGAATTGGTGCTACCCATGTAATAATGCACAAAATCCAGTTCAGAAAAAAAAAAAAAAATGGCAATGAGAACATAGCTCCTTCACATTCCCCAAGGTAAACCAAGTGTCTGCACTGAAGTAAGTGTCACACATGCAAAACCCAGTTTTTTCAGCAGCTATCTGAAAGAAAAATGAAAACAGAAGACTTTTCACTGACATGCTGTTAGCCCATTCTTCTGAGCCGATTTTTGAAGGGCTTCTGTGTTCATAAAAATACGACAGTAACTATATTTATCACAGATATAAAAAGAAAAGCCTTTTCCTACAAGTCCTGTGAAGGAGAAACGGAGCTATCAAACATTGCGTGCATATTTTCATCCCAGTAAGGGAGTGAATGAGAGCGGAATAAAGCATATTTTGTATAATTACATACTGCTTTATTTAATTTCATGCATAGCTATCACAGTGAGTGTGATGAGCCAAGTTTTGATCCCCTGATGCCAGTGTTTGAACATTAATTGAATCCTAAAGGGCTAGACCACGGTCATCTCCATAAATCCAAAAAATAAGAAGATGATTCCAAGAAAACAGCAAATACTTGAAACGTTTCTCGTGATGCTTACAACTCTTGTTTGCAGTTAGTTACACCAAATCGAGTACTACTCAGAACAAGTGTTCATAAAATCCTTTCTATGGTATAAGGATACTCTCACAGACCATCTGCTCTTTTATTTGCAATTGCGTGCGTGACCTTCTCGGTCTTATTCTTGACTGCAAACATCCCTGCGGTAGCAGCAGCATTTGCTTGCATGGGAAAATAATACTAGGAAAGAATTTTATATATTTTTAGCCGTCTTTTAATGCTGTTTAACAGCTGGAAATGAGGAGAGTCTGGCACCGTACCATCAGCCAGTTCGCTTCAGAATGCCACAAGAAGCCTCAGAGGTATGGATGTGGCAAGCCTAGACTCCTGAGAAGGATTTACATATTTTGCATCCAATTACTTCGAATTGCTACATCTGCATGACTTGAACATCTCGGAAAGGTGGGGAAAGGCAACAAACATTACTACAGGGCATGTACCTTCAAGAGAAAAATAACTATTTCTTCAGAAAGGTGCTGTTTACTGTGTCAAACTATAACCGAGTCCTTTCTCATACTAACAGGCTTGGTAGGCGATTGCTTCCCTACCCACCTACAAGTAAAACTCTCAGAGCAAAATGCCAATCCCAAGCCCTTTCAGAAAGTCTGCCAGGTCACAATTCCTTCCATTTCAGCTTCCTTTGAGCTTCGACAGTCAGTAAAGTGAATCCTAAGAGCATGATACCAGATGGAATTATCAGCAGCATTTTATATGTACACGTCATGCAGGTAAACACCACCTTGGTTATCCAGCTTTTCAACGTGATTTTTCAACATTCTCCACTGTTTTCTAATGCTGTTGGTAAGCTGCTCTCGCACAGTTTCACAAGACAGTTCCCACATATTCTCTTTATTTAACTCTCCAATATCTTCCTCCAGGTCTGACAGCACCTGTAGAAGCACAAACATGAAGCTGCAACCACTCCACCACTCCGAATATGTGTATTTGCTTATTTAAATATGTATGTGGATTTAATTTACTGAAGAGAAGGAAAATCCTTATATACAGGAAAGATTTTTTCCATCCAGGGAAACGTGGCTGTCAGGGAGTTCAGTTCCCCGACGCCATGCTGCTGAAGAGACAGAAGCGACCTGGCAGTGCCCAGAACCCCACCACAGAGAGCTTGTACCAGCTCAGCAAGACTCACTTTCGCACACCTACAAGCTCGAGAAGTTCAGACTGCTGAGTTCTGCTGTCAAACTTAGGCAGCACCTGCCCATAAACTCACTATGAGCATGAAAAAGTTTTAAGACAAAGATTTTCTCTGTTGAGAATTAAGTAATTTGTCCCTACCTTATTTTTCTGCACAATAAAAAAAAATTTAAAAAAAGCCACAAGGCACTGAAGGTGGAGTGGAACCAGCACCTCCCTCTCCCACTTCCATTTTACACTACTGTTCAAACATCAAACGGAACGCTACCTCGCAGAGCTGAGACAAAGTCTAAGTGGTCAAGAGAAGACCAGCCCAGGAGAACTCAGCAGATTTAAACTGAAAAGCTAGAGCCATTTCAGTACCTGACATGAATACTCTGCTCTTCTCAAGCACCTAAACCATTCTATACAATCCCCTTTATCCACAAGTACACAGGAAAAATGGAATGGGAAGTGCAAAACCGGGAAGTTCAAAGGCATGAGAGTAATTCATTTACACGTGCAGCAAGTGCTTTCTTTCAAACTGGATCACAGGAGATCTTAAGGAGCAAAACAACAGCTATAAACAAAAAAAAGGCAGTTTTTTTTTGTTCGGGGTGGTTTTGGGGCAGGGGGGTTTTGGTTGATTGGTTGGTTGAAGAGTTTTATGTCACTTCATAAAGAAACATCTTATTCCTTTACTTGTAATTAATAGCCTATTACCAGTACATCATCAATCTTGAATGATGCCTAGAATCCAGCCTTATGCATGCTTTCTGTATGTCAACTCTTTTTATGCCGAGGGATACTCCTCCTTTTACTGCTAAGAGAAAGCTCAGTTAACCTTCTAGATTGTTCCCCACTTCACTCTGACATCCAAACAGGACTGTGACTTCTAGCAAGGAATCAGCAAAAGGAATAAACAAACTCTCTGATAAACAATAAATGCAATGTGCTGGTCCATAAAAACAAAGTACCCTGCGTCAACAAAGAAAACCTGGAAATAAACAACCAACCAACCCCACAAACAATGTCACTTGGAAATCAAACATTTTCCTTGAAGATACCAGCAGCTCTGTAAAAGGAACTACCAGCTACTCTAACCCAGGTATTGCAGGAGCGCACCCTAACTACATTTCCTCCACCCCCACGGATTCTATGGGCAGCCTGGTTTCTTGGCACAAGCACCCTGAAAGCTGGCATCGACATCGGAGCGTGGAAGGCAGAAAAACCCCAAAGGCATCGTTGTACAGAATTACATACATCCCTCCTGCATTTAAAATTCATTCAAAGCATACTCCGAGCTGTCCGCTGCCTGCCTGAGAAGAACACCCTGTTTATTGCTCAGAACACGTAAGCACGGATGGATTGCAGGCACAGCACAGGACGTGCAATCCACCGCGAGTTCCCCAAGTTTGCCTTTTTTTTCTTTCTTTCTTAATGACCAAATTACTCAGCACTACAGCAAACCACCACACAGATTTAATTTTAACTGAAGAATACTTACTGGCCCATCCTCAGACCTTTCTTTAGGTTTCTGTTTCTGTGGTGGGAGAAGCGAAATAATCTCTTTCTTCATTTGCTGAAGAACTTTTTTCAGCTCAGCATTTTCCACTAAAAGCTGTTTTTGGCGTTGTTCATAATCACTTAACAGAACTTTGTACATTTCTTCTTCATTTCTGGAAGAAGAAGTCTGACAGTAACAACGCAACAGCCATAACACATGCTTCAATTAATGTTGTTCTAAGACAACTACCTGGCTTCTGTCTTATCAGTCCTCCATGCACCTCTCTTCCCATCAGCTCTACCAACATAATTTAGAACTTCCATAGCTACAAATGAAAAGGATATTTCAAAGCATGAAACAACATGCAAATATATAAATATTCAGATGACATTGCAATTACCTATTTGCATTTACACAGTTATTGTCAAGAGACCACATTACCCAAATAGCTCCCATACGAAACCACATTGCCCTGCTTAACAAAGAATAAGATAATCAAGGAAAGAAGATAATTGTTGTGTTTGGAAACTCATTGAAGATCGTATTCTCATCCTGTCTTCTTTTTTATGCATTTCTTAATGGCACCTTCCTCCCTGTTTCAGCCTTTATATCAATGGTGTATCAACTCCAACCTCTCCTCTGGCAATAGTGCCAGTTCTATCTCCAGATCGGAGCAAGCAACTTCCTGCTGTTTCACAGGTGTCCCTCAAAACAAAGAAACTTCTCTGTCCACATTTGAAGGAAAAAAAAACCCCACCAAACCCCACCACGACCACAAAAACCCCAAAACAACACATCACTACAGATTGGTGGTCCCAGTTCAATTCTAGTTAGCTACCAAGCAAACAGTAACTAGATTTAAAGCCCTGTTATTTTGACCTCACTGGTACTTGAACTAGTATTAGCCAAGAACGTGCCACAAGTAAGTTTTGCTCACCTCAGGGCAAGGCTTCTGTAGCCAAAATCGGTGTTCCTGCTGCAGCGTCCTAACCTGGCTCGGCTCACCCACAAGCACTTTCAGAAAACTAAATCAGCAGAAAACCAACTCGGCAACAACGCGAACGGTTTTCTTCTGGTTTAGTGAACTAAACCAGCTTACTACAACACAAGACTCACTACAGCTGGCCGACAGCTGAGTGTTTCGGGGGTGGCAAGAGGGATGAGAGAGGAAGAGCAGGACTTCCCCGCCCCTGGAGAAAAATTATATAAATGCTCTAAGGCCAGATGCAGGAATCAAAAGGTGCAGGTATTTTTATACATCACACTGGTACCTATTTTCAGCGACACACCCCAAAAAGCTAGACTCGTGCTAAACAGCACTGATGAAGAGCTTGAAGACAATTTTTGGGCAGCACAACATACGAGTACTCATACGGTAAAGGAGATTTCTCCTCCCATTTCACACCGCGCCAGATGCTCTGTCTATCTTCCTCCCTAAAGCTTCCCATCACTTATTATTAACACAACCAGACTGCAGTATCTCAAGGGGAAAAAAAGCTCACGCAGTGTCCCCTCCCCATTGCAAGTGGTGGTCGTAATACAGTGTTTCTGACACTACCCAAAGTCTTGTGATGGTAGCAGTAGCAAGAAGGTAGAGGAGATGCAGCTCTAGCTTAGGAATTAATTCCAAGTAATTCTCCCTAGTGAAAAACACATAAAGTTCTCCATCCTGGTTTGTGCTTGGCAAACAATCTTATGGGATACAATATAAAAGTTTATCAGCCTTACACAGTCAGGTGACATGAAATAGTATATCTTATATATAAAAGATTTTAACACCTAAATAAAAATCTATGTTATTTTGACTGACTATAATAAAGGCCGTATTGATTTTAAAGATACCCAGAACCAAATTTAAACATTTTTAACGTACAGAATATGCTATTTTGCTGTAGTGAAATTCAGGGAGCTACTTACCTATCTTTTTGTCCTTTTTGTTCATGACTAATTGGTGTAAGCGTTCCTTTAATTTGTTATATTCTCTCTCTTTCCTCTTCATGTCATGATTGTACTGTGTAGCTCTACTTGAAATTATGTTCTGTAACTTCTGTACCTAAAAGCAACCCCACAAAAAGCCTGTATTTCTTCAACTAAAGCATAAGCACGTTAATTTCTTCAGAAAACCAAAACAAATACATGAAGCTAAATGACACTTCTATTAAACTGTATTTCTGGCAAAAGCAAGCGACAAAAGCAATCAGAAGAACTCTCGTAACCCACAGATTCTGACCTCAGAACTCTCTCATGGAATTTAGTTTCTTTTCTGCAGAAGCCAACACTGTAAGCAACATATTATAATACTACAGCTCCTCTGAAGTACAACTGAACTCACGTTCTGGCAATCCACGTAACCTTCCTCAACACTTTGATTGAACAGAGCAGAGAAAGACATAGTTTTGGTTTCAGTAATTAATGCTCAGGATCTAGTTTAAAGTATGCTTGTTAGGTTTACACTAACAAAAAAAATAATAAACTCTCTGGGCAGCAGGATGCTGGAGGACAGACTATCCCATGAGGTCTAAAAAAAATCATTAAAACGTATCATAAAGCACATTCTTGGCCTGTACTATCAATACCTGGGTTTGGGGTTTTTTTGAATCACCAGTTTTAACCTTACAAACATGCAGCAATTCAGTATTTTAAGCTGAAACTTTAGAATGTTCACTATGTACAGACAGTGCTGTGATTGCTGACTGTGTGAATACGTACAGAGAACACTAAGCACTGTCCTGGATTTCAAAGTGTTTTCTGATCTTGGTTCTTCCAAGACTCCCAAGTTTAATGAGACTGTGCTTTTGGGCTGGGTTTCCCCCTACCTCTCTTCCTTTTGGTCTTTTGCTCTCCTCTGCAATACAACAAAAAACCCTCCCCCCCAAAAAAAACCCAACCCCATGTTTGAGGATGTGACTGAATCCTGTCGCCCCCCTCCTACTTTTTGATATTTTTCACCATTCAAAGATAAAGCTATGCTCGTTGTTACAACTTGGACCTATCCCTTACAGAACCTATTTATCCCTACGTATCATCCAATTTCACCTTGGTGAGAGACATTTGCCAACAAAAAACCATTCAAAGTGAACAATTACTAGACTCCTTGCAACAAATCATATTATTGAATAGCTACGTAATGGTGTGTTAAGGTACAACTCACTTCATCCTTTTCATTTTTAAGTAACTGGTGCAAATTTCTGTTCTTGCTTTGCAGTTGTCTGTCTCTTTCCTGAAGTCCAACTATTTCCCTCTTGGATAATTCCAACTGTTCCTAGAGAAAGTGTTGATAGGTCAGTATCAATAAGAATTCATAGCAAAGGATTAATAAACAAACAAAACAACCCCACAAAAACCACCACAAGACACAAACCAAACTGCCAAGCCACCTCCCTTGAAGCTAGCTGGCCTACATATTTGATCTCCCATGTTTTGGTGATGATCTTGCACTCTCAACGAGAAGTTAGTTCTGTTTTCTGGAGCAAGAAGTATGATTCTCCAGCACGAGAAACACTCCTGCTCCAAGAAACAAAAATTCAGCTTGGTATTTAACAGATATTATCTCCTGTAATTATGACTTTTTCATTAAGTCAGGATTCTGTAAGCGTATCTATACTGGGATAGCAAGGGGGATGCCAAGCAACCTGTATGAATTTGGGACTACAGCACTACTGGAACGCTTCTGTTAAATAATCAAGGGGACACTTCACACACAGAGGCAGCCTGTGACCACGGCAAAGCAAGTGGGACATTTCACACACACCGAGTAAGGCGAGGCAGACGATCTCACTATAACAGATTATGCAAAACTAGCATTTTAGAAATCTTCTTCTACAAACACGAGACTCAAACCAACCTGAAACTGCCAACTTAAATGACAGAGCCAAATGCTACACACAAGCTCTTTTTTTTTTTTTGGTATGTGCAGTGAGCTACAAAAGTGGAGGGATATTTAAGCACCAAGACCTTCTACACGAACCACATCAGAATACAGGTAACATGAGAGTGGAAGTCAAGAGGATTGCTGTATAGTAACCAAAATAATTTGCATCAGATACCTTACAAGCTAAATTAAATGCCCTGGGATTGAAGCAGTACTAACAAGTTTTTACCCCCTTCACCTTAAAGCAGTTTGTCCAGGGAAAGTAACTGCAGTGTTCTGGAACCTAACACTGTACTGCCTTTGTATAAAAATGAGCACAGCTACGTGTGACTTTTAATGTCCCATCAAAATGCTTCTACATGGATGACCAATCTCAGCAGGACTACTATGATTTTGAGAATCTACAGCCGTATTTGTGAAGGAGAGAGTGGCGGCCAGCCCTAGTGAAAAAGCCCCGAATCATGCACTGATTTTTAATTTTTTTTTTAAATTTTATTTTCTTGTCAGAATCAAGGGAAAATGACACTCTTCTAACACGCCTGCACACACAAGTACCCGCGATGTAGCACAGGCTGTGAACTTCCAACAAACCAGCTACTCCACAGGGACTGGCCTTGCGCATGTGTGTATCCTGTGATAAAGCAAAGCTTAGTAACTTCAGTTTTGACAACAGCTTCGGAGCAATTCTTACAAAAAGACTTTATAGTTGGCCACCCAAGGAGTTCAACAACAACAAAAATCCATGGAAAGAGCTACAGACATGGAGAAAGACTGATAACAGCCCTGTGACACAGGCTAGAAATGCTACCTATGCTTTCCCTGGTTACAATGATATTGGGAATTCCTCTTTTAGAGCTGGGCACATCCTTCGAAGTGATACTGAATAATATGAACCGAAGTGTTTAACACTTTCACCCACAGCGTGCCTTAACGATTCCAATCCAAACAGTCTTCCCTCTTCCTTGATTAAAGAGGCCATAATTCTCAGCAAGTTTTCAGTTCTCTCATTAATTCATGTTTTGTTAGCTTTAAGGCATTTTCAACTGGAAAAAGACTTCAAAAAGACCCCCAAAAGCACATAAAAATACAACTGCAGATTAGTACCGGGGAGAAAAACAAAAAAGCCCTCACTGTTACGAATGTACAGTATCTGTTAAACATAAGTGTGTCACAATATTGGTGGAATGATCTTGTTCTCTACCTTTAATTTAGCATAGCTGTTCTGTAAGTGATCCATATCACTACCCAGTTTCAGATGCTGCATTTCTACTTCTTCCTGAGCTCGAAGGTTCTTGTGCTGCAGTACGAGCAATTCATTCATGCAATTTATGATAGATATTAAATTTAATTCTTTTCCTCTGGACTCCGCATAAAGAGAAGGAAAGCCCAATGTTGTCAGTTCCTGGCAAAAGACAAGGAGGGGTGGGGTGGGGATAAATAACCGGATCAATCTCTCACAATTCTTTAAAAGAGAAACAATACCGTGTGAAATCCTGTATGAAGGGGGAAAAAAAAAGGGGGGGGGAATCCCATTCCCCACCAACTTTGGCTTCTGAGCAAGAAGCCTCCTTAATCCAGTGAATCTTTACTACCACAACTGATTTAACGTCACCTTCGCATCACCTCCAGTAATTAAGATCTGGCTTACCCTATTGAGATAGGATATACTCTGTTCAATATTCTCTTCGGTGCAGAAGGCACTGAAAAAGCTGTGCATGCTTTTGGATGAAGGCAGTGGCAAGCGTAGCACTTGTGAGTTCATGTTGGGGGGAGATATCTTTTTTTCTGAGGTATATTGAAAAATATTTTTGCTATCTAGAAGTTAAACACATTAAGAAACAAGTCAGTGCTAATAGTTTAGGACATATCACATAGGAAAAAACACAATCAAACAACCAAATCCCCAACTACTTAAAGTATTATTTACAGAAATTCACAAGTCTAAAGCTTAGAACCTCACCCAGAATGATATATATTAAACAATTCATCATGAAAACGAAAGGATAACCTTCCACAGAAGATTTAAACACTCGATTACGTTTTAAGGTATTATATCCTTCAAATTTTACTCCTCTGTCAAGAAAAAACCCTGCCCAACCTTTCTTCCCAATTGACTTGCTACAACACCTTTTTTTTTTAACACAGGTGCAAAAGCTGTGCATTTAGTGAAAATTCATACAGAATGTAGGATATCCTTACTCATGTTAAGCATACGCTGTAATCTACTCTTCCACTAGGTAGAAGCAGGCAAGAAAATATTTACTCCTTTAATAAATTTGTAATCAATTTACGAGGGCACAGAATTTAGAACAAGTAAAGAAACATCCAAAAACATGAGATATCCCGAAAGGTGCGATTAAAAAAGGAGTGTGAATGACAAGTCTTAGCACCTTACGTGAAAGGACAGTATTTTACAGCAGCATTTCTGTAAGGACTCACTCCAACACAAAGCACTGTCTGTACAACACCCCATTGAACATTCTGCTTAACTAGTCAAGCAGGTCCTGCACGGAATTTTGACTTGTCTCTCTTTAGCAGCTGTAACATCACTGATCAAGTCAGCAAATCCACCAAATTCAAAATATTACCAGTTTACCTGATGACAGCACTGGCACAGTAACAGTCTTCCAGTCTCCCATAGCAACAAAGACAGGCAGGGTACCTGAGCAACTGGGTCAGCAGCGAAGCATTTAGTACAACTGCTGGCAACGTGGGTTACGTAGGCACCTCCTAAAATAGCAAGAGCTGTTTAGATTAACAATAGCAGCTAATACAGCTAGAAGATTAAAGCAGGCACAGGAGAGGGACTAGGGGCCTTGAGCCACGTGAAATTTTTCTACCTCTTCACACAGCATTTGGAACACAATAAGCACAGCAAATACTACGCTGTAAAAAGGATGCCTCTGTCTGTATTTAGTTAGCCTTAAACTTAACCGAGTCTTGTAAACCATTACCTATAGCTAAAATGCCATGCACACGTGAAAATAATAAAGACACACGCTGTAGATAACTCAGTTGTTTCTGTTGATACGCAGCAGAGAAAACAGCAAGCCAAATATTGAATATTTTCCGGCCATAGAACCAAGAAACAACTTTATTAAGATAAACTGACGTGAAGTTTTAACATAAATCTGTCCGAGTGGGATTATTACTTACAGCGAAGGATAATAAAGGCTCTAGAGAAGATCTACTGGCAGAGAGAGGGCAAAGGAACTGCTAATAAATATTTTGCCATTTAAATTCAGCCTATACATTTTGTTATATTGCCTTTCCCTGGTAAGTGGCTTGCTTCTTTGCAGAATCTCTAAAATTGCTGAAGAAAACAAACAGGAGAAGCCTTACCCCATTGGCACAGCCACTCAGGACAGCACTGGCTCTCTGGAAGCCAAAGGAAAGTCGCACCCTCGTAAGAAAGAACAACCCGACTGTCCCCTCGCCCCACCTCCCACTGCCCAGCAGGAAGGCACATAATAGCATTAGAGTTACCATGCTGCTGGAAATGGAAAATCCAGCTTGGGTGCTTAGGATCGGGATAGCGTAACCCATCAGCTGTTACGTGACCCGTGGTACTTCAGGGAAACAAACCTTCCACCCTTTTTTCAATTCACACTTTGGAACAATCTCTCAAGTCAGCCTTAGAGGGACTCCGGAGGCTTTTAGAGCACAGGGATGTTTTCCCCTAAATCCCCTGCTAATGTTCCAATAAACACATTCTCAGTAAGAAACTTCTATATTTCTGACACCAAAACCTTGTCTTTTTATCACGGTGGAAAAAGCTATCATCTGGGGGGAAAAAGAAGGGAAGGGGCGGGGGAAGGTGCGCTCTGTTATCCACCAGGTCTCTTGAGAACACAGAGACGGCGAGAATCCTTATCAACACTTCAAAGCACAGAAGACAGCGCCCAAAGCAACACCAGGATTTTAAGAGATCATAGCGGTGCACAGCGATGTTACAGAATGCTCAGCACCAGAGAAATCAAATATGCAGCTGGATGAGTATTTCTCCAGGTTCACACATTTACTTGGGAAAAAGGTAAACAGTTACTCCTCATCTGAGCCGAATGCTTGCAGGAACTACTAAATCACGTATCAGAAAGCACATGTAAGGCAGCAAGAAAACCACAGTCAACGCAGCAATCTAGTGGCTGTTCTTGTTTAAGAAATGGGGGTTTCTGCTTTCTCTCTGCCCATATCCATTTATGTGCTTTCTTAAACTATTTTTTCCTGTAAAAACCTGGTGTTTCCTGTAAAACCAAGGTGTCCAGAAATTAACAAAGTGAAGTGTCAGATTCTGAAGTCAAGAACTGACTTCAGGGCAGAAATCTGCAATGCAGTTTTGTGGTGTGGTTTTTTTTTTTCTTTCACCCATCCAAAACAACTCTGCTTTCGAAAATGGAATTCCAAGTCAAACTAAGGATTAAGAGGACACACTTCTTACATGTTAGTTTCGTTTCTGTTGGATCCATCAGCCAGAGAAACCTGCAAAGGTAAGGCAAAAAGAAGGCAAATTAAGCTACAAGTATACTTTCATTGCCGGCATCACAATCCTGCTTTCTAACAAGGTACTTCAAAAGACTGCGAAGAAACTCAAGACACACAGCTTCCATCAGGGACTGCTGGAAAGTCCACAGAAACACTACTCACATTTCAGCTATGCTGTTACTTTCAAACAAACTGGCTTTTATTCTTTAAGAGGCTGCATACCCATTGTGAGATCTTATCACCCCAATTCCCTCAACGTACGGTATTACCAACCCACGGGTCTCTCTACGCTGACAATACCGCTCTGACGCAGCATCCATCACCCCAAACAATGCTTGACTGGAAGCAGAAACAGGACTAGCCCAGGTGTGGGAATGCAATGACTCTAAATTTGAGCCCAGCAAGCCCCACGCAGATTCATTCAGTGCAGATGCTCTATCAAGACTACTCTCCAGTGACACACTGTCTCCGGGTACAGCAACAAGAGGACACAAAGAAAATTAACACACCAGCTCAGGCTCAGAAGGATGTCTAGTGAAGACAGAGAAGGCAAGAACACACAGGCAGCACAATAAGGTCCAGATAATGCAACTATATTCTCCTCATGTTAATCAACCTCGAAGGCTCCAGAGCCTTTTGTCTCGGAAAGGCCACCTGCAGTACACGGGACACTGTTTAATGCATCAGATTAAAAGCCACCCTCAGCCATTGAAAGGTTTGGAAAGTGCCAAACTCAAAAACTTCCTTCAGCTGTTAAACCGCTACCCCAAAGTATCTTAAATTGTTGTGTGTCATCAAACAAGGGCAGCAGCTTTGAAGCAGTAAGCATTCCAGGGAGCGGTCGGCATTTTTTTGTACTTGACTCATCTTTACATACTGTATTTAGAATTAAACTCGGATGTGCAGAACGAGACAGCCCCGCGTTAGCTGCGAAAGGGAACGCTACCCGCCTTGAGTCCCATGCTAAGGTCATCTCATCAGCTCCACGTGGCTTCCAGTGCCAGTTCAGGACCTCAGCCATGACTTCTAAAGCTATCTAGTGATTAAGACCCATCAGATGTATTTCCTTCCCGGCCTAGGCAGTTCCTCCGGAGCAACACGGCTCAAAATAGCCTCACTGAAGCATGCAAGAGCTAAAGATGAGCATTCCTGATGAAGACAGTGTGGATGCAGAAATACTTTACATACAGCATATTCCAAAGGCACCCTTCACCTTCAGTACGCTATGACGCTCCCTGTAACCACCATAACATACCAAGGAACGTACTCACACAGAGGAGGAAAATGTGTAACTCTGAAGCAGTGTTTTGTGTAATTTATTGTTTTATTATTCTTCCCTAATAAGATTGAGAAGTACTTTAAGGATCTCCCTAGGCTATCTTAGTTAATACAGAAAGGCTTTAACCAAACAAAAGTAGTACGAAGGTTTTGTGGGTTGGTTTTTTTTTTCCCCCTCCTCAAATCCTGCTTGGGAAAACATGCAGTAGAAAGGAAAAAAAATCAAATTATGCTGTTTCCCAGCTTCTCATAATAATGTGAAAAATCTGACTGACTGCAGGTGGGAGCGAAAAGAACCACTGAACAGCCAGAACTGCTGTAAATGTTTTACGATTTGCCTTCTGCGCCCATTCTCTACACAAGGGGATTTGTGGCAGTTACTTCACCACCAGGTTGGATGACTTGCCCGAAAACCTGTAACGACCCAGTCCTTGCTAGATGTAATTCTGCCAACTGGCTGTGCCGATTCCTGTCCCAAGCAAGAAGTCCCTGGAGTGGGCAAGACCTAGGTAGGTTGTCAAAAAAAACCCAAAAAATGAGCCTCTGGCAATTTCAAATTCTGAACATAACAGCAGAGCCATCTCACTGCTAACAGAAATCTAAAAACCAGCCAAACAAACAAACAAAAAAAAACACAGCAAACACACACACACACCTCCCCAAAATACTTGCACTAAAATCACAGAGAGCTTGCTTAATACCAAGGAAGCAGGAACCATACCAAAGCATTCAAGTGCTTGTCGGAACAAGTGAAGTACAAAATATCCCAAAGAACTTAAAAAACAAAACCCAAAAACTGTCATGGTAATAGAACTTGATTATTAGAAAGGCACCTAGGGAATTTTTGTGACAAAAATCTACAGGAATAGTTCCACAAACTCCTACATGATTCACTAACAAATACATCTTTCTTTTCGAGAACAAATTTAGATTAAACTGCAAAACCAGTATATTTCACAAACCTAGAGACCTGAGAGCAGCTGTTCTTAAAATTACTGGTTTGTGTTTTAGGGGACAGGGGAGGGATTGACAATGAACGTGCCAAGATTCAAGACAGAAATCTGATTAAGTAAGCCTTTACACAGTGCAGCATTTCTTAATATCATGCTTAAAAGGAGTAGTTGTAACTGGGTCTGTAAAACTCATTCAATCAGAAGAGACTCACTTGTCACAGCACTGTGTTGTGATCATATTACACCATCTGGTCACCTCTAACCCACACAGGGTGTGACACAAATGGGAAATGCAGTATCTGGTAACCCAGAAAATGTTTTTCCCCCAACACAGAGAGGACAGGGAAAGGCAATTTTTGGAGAGGTGGTTTCTACTTGCCCTCAATACTGCAATGTCTTGGGAAAAAGTTTAAAAACTACCAGCCAGAAACTGTCAAACAAACATTCCTCCTCTGTGTATTTCAAATGCTACTGCAAGTTGTGACGTGTGTGTTTCAACTTGTAAAACTGGGGGGGGGTTGTCAGCATTTACTTAAAGGGCAGCATGATTCCTTCTACTAAAATTATACCCCAAAAGGAGCTGTGAGTCTGCTTAGAGCTTTCACATTTGCCTAGTAATCCACAGATGTCACACAGATGGCTTTTATCCGGCTAAACACAAAGACTCATCAGTCTGTGTAAATTCAGGGGACACTCCAGTCATGACATTGTAGGTTCACAAATACACCCCTGATAATGTCCTAAGACATACACTTAATTCACGTCATCACCATGAAAGCCCATGCGTTTCCACCCTAGAGTTTTTGCTTAAAAAACCAAACAAACTAATAAAAAAAATAATCAAGAGTTTTAAGAAAATAAGTGGTTATTTGATCTTCTCAACACGTATAACCACACAAGAATATGCCCTCACATCTGATAAAATTCAATGTTTGATGACCATTCTGTCAGGGTCTTTGCCTCAAACACTGGGGCTACAAGGAATATAAGCTGATCTACTACCTCAAGATTCA